ATTTCTCCGATCACAAATGCAGCCATGGTTTTATGTTTACGCGGCGCGATGCGTCATTATAATCCGTAATTATGTCCCCACTGGATGCTACAAATGCCTCGTTTGTAATGGGTTTTAATGTTTTTGTCTCGTCGCTCCGGCTGGACACGGCATCACAGTATGATAGGGGCGTAAAATTTCCGTCTCACGCTTGAGGTATTCGGCCAATCACAACGCACTGGATAGCTGGCCAATCACAGCACACCTCGCTTTTCAGACCGATGAGCTTTGTAAAAATCGACACGTTTCAAAAAGGCGGGGCATAGAGGAGAAACAATAATGTACAGTATGTGGAAAATAATGTGTTTTTTTTACTTTAAACCGCATAAACACATTTCATTACACCAAATACACAAAATAATGTTCTTTTTAGCAGCATCATATGACCCCTTTAATAACACATCTGCTTTAATGACAGATGTTTGGATTAAGTAAGTTTACATGTTTCTTCACCAAAAGGCCAAAGTGATCATGTGACTGAGCTTTGATTTAAAGATACAGAATTAAAATGCATGCGTGTCAGTGATGCAAGACGCGTAAAAGTGCTTTAAAATCCAATGGGAGACAGTGGGAGGTTTACCTTCGGGAGGCTTGGCTTGGTCTTGTAGCTCTTGTTTCTCCTTCAGGAACAGAGAGAGTTTGAGACAGAAAGAGTGAGAGTCAGAATCAGAGCGAGTGTCAGCTGAAGTGTGCGGCTGTGTTCAGACTCACATCAGGATGCCCTGCGCTCGCTCCAGAAGCTTATTATTCAGCGAGTTCACGAAGATGCCCTCGTCTTCCTCGCACCTCCTGAGACACAGCACAGACAGAGGATTGTTACGCTCGCACCAATAACACATCACACCGCTGCCATTCATCACGCTTTAACTGGCTGAACTTCTTTCATTGCTTTAATTGGATTACTTAAAGGTCACACATTGTACACCTTTCTGGAGTTTTATTTTAGGTTTTGATGTCCTTAAGAATATATATTTGCGGTATAAGTACCAAAAACCATCTCATTATATTTTTACAGCTCCTCTCTCAGGAGCTCTGCTGAGAACAGGTCGATTTTGGCCTGTCTAATTAATATTCATGAGCCTCTCTTCTGATTGGCCTGTTGTTTTCTGAGTGACACACGGCCCGGCCAACCACAGGTAACTAGGGTCAGCCGACGTCACAGCGCTAGCTGGAGGAAGCAAAACAAAGGGGAAACTGGAGGCAGCCCATTCAAACCAGCGCAGATTCGGCTACACATGAAGCTTAAAATATCATCTTGTTGTGATGTTGGGTGCCAGAATCGACAATGGTTTTTACAGCGTCAAATTCGAAATTTGATCGCATATCTGCTGCCACTGCCAGACAAAAAAACGACGACAGCTGTGGTTAAACGCGATAAAACGAGCAGACTGGACAGAAACGATCGTCAAAAAAGCTCGCGATTGCAGAGCACACTTCTTATCAGAAAAGGTTCAATAAAGTATTCTTTTGTTGTTATGGGCGCGTCTACAGATTTCTTGCCATGAAAAATAGCTAGAACTTTATGCTGGCTGTGTGCATTTTACTGTGGACTGACTGTTTTGAAACTTATATGGTAGTTAAATAGCCCCTAGACCTCAGTAATCATGAAAAAAGCCAGGAAATTTCAGTTTTGACAATATGGGACCTTTACTTAAAGCATTAAAAAATATATTTATTTATTTAAATAAAATAAATATAAAAATAGCAAATGAAATACTAAAGATGGAATATTTTATTTGTATATGTGCTATAATACAAATATAATTATTTTTATACATTTAAAAAATTATATTTTGATATAATACATTTTTTAAATGTATACTTTTTAACTAATTTTCAATAATGAATCATTTTAATAAATAAACTTTTAATTTTGATAAATGTAAAAATAATAGTTTTATTATTGTATATTGAATTATTATATATTTTTGTTTACCTGCTATAATATAACTAAAAGTATTTTGTACATTTAAAAATGCATATTTTTTAAATTATTTATTTATTTTTAGAAAAACTAATTAGAAAAATGTATTTTATTTTTGATCATTTTTAATAATTAAGGTTTTTTTAATAGTTATTTAAAATTTACATTTGTAATAAGTAATTTTTTTATAAATAAACATTTATTGAATTTATTAAAATTTTTATTAATTACTGAACACTGATGTATTTTTTCATGCAGCCACTTTATAAAATCAATAAACCAATTACAGTTGTGCATTACAGTGACTTTACCAAGTTTTGTTCTTAAATTGTGGTCAAATCTACAATTTTATCTACAAAACAATCAAAATTGTGGTGTTGTATTTGTTTACCTGCCATAATGAAATTAATTTGTAAAATCATTAATAAAATGATTTTGTACATTTAAAAATGCATCGTTTTTTAAATAATTAATTTAGTTATTAAAATGCATAATTTAAACAATGATTTTAAAAAATTAATAAATTATTATTTCATTTCTAATGAAAATAAAAATAACATTTTAATAACTTAATATTTATAGTAATTAAATTATTAATTTCTTTATTATTAATCATAAACATTTATGTATTTTTACATGCTGCCAACACAATTGTGCATTAAAGTGACTTTAGCCTATTTTGTGTGGTAAAGTCTGGAGTTTTATTTGTTTCGCTGCATGTCATGTGACGGATCGGTGAACATGCGCATGTGTCGTTAAATCATCGTGATACGATCTGAAAGTCTCCGGGGCGCTTGAGACGGATGTTTGAGGGGTTTTCTTCTGTACCTGCTTGTTTTCTGGCTGAGCGTGTTCGATCCCTGCAGGTCTGATAGAGGAGTCCTGCGGCTGATGCACCAATCTGACGTTCAGACAGACAGAGAGAGAAAGAGAAAGAGTTCAGTCACAGACGAGGAGGAAGATCAAACCTCCAGCAGCTGTAAAGTGAGACGAAATCAAAGCCTGTTCACACAAACATCCTGAGAAATCAACAATAAGAACAAGAACCTCATAACTCATACCATTAAAGGTGACATATCATGAAAATCTGACTTTTCCAGGTGTTAAGTGCTATAATCAGGTCCCCGGTGCATCTACCAACCAAGGAGACGTGAAAAAGATTAACCCAGTAACTTTGTTTTGGGAAGCCTTTTTCTGCAAGCGTCTGAGAAAACGAGCGCGTCTGATTTCGCTCCCTTGGTGACGTGGCAAAGGGATCTCATTATAATATTACTGCCCCTTAATCTGTAAGTTTCCACCCACGGCGCCGTTATTGTGTTTTCGCAAGCGACAACTGTGTACCAGCTCTAATGCCATGGAGAAAGTTTGATGGCTCCGCTGGTGAACAGGATGATGCAGGAAACTGAAGCTGTCCACTCTTTTCTGATTCTGAACCGGACTGTCAGAGCCTGGAGAGAGAGAGAGAGAGAGAGAGAGAGAGAGACATAGAGACATAGAGAGAGAGAGCAGACACAGTGATTGACAGCTGTCTACGGTTTATTTATTAAAAGAATCAAAGAAAAGAAGATTGAAATGACCTGAGTATTGAATCTGACTCTGTCCGTTAGTTACTAGTGCTCGCTGACTTTTGCCAAAAATAAAATTCCAGAAACCAACAACATATAATATACTATAGAAATAACTGAGGTGCAAATTTTAAAAAGGAAATATTCTTCTGATAATTTATGCTTTAAAATGTTTACTTATATGTTACATATAAAATAGGTACATATAATGTACATGAATATTTTCATGTTTATTTTATAAATTAAATAATAAACAGTAAATATATGTGCTTATATTTTGTTTATTGTATACATAAGTAAACAAAAATACATATTGTTCATAAATGAACACACAAACTGACACAAATAATGTAAAAAATAAAATAAAAATTACAATACAGTATGTAATAAAAATACATGTAAAACTAAGCAAATTACATATAAATAAATGTTCTTGTGTTTATTCATATTTTAATATTATTTACTTTTTAAATGCTTTTTACACACTGAATGTTTTACTATTGTAAAAATTATAATTAGTATTTTATAGTTTAATTAGTATATTAGTATTTATTTAATTATAACCATTTTAATTATTTATACAATTTGTATAGTTGTTTATGAATAAAAAAACTAAACAATAATAAACATTATTTATAAATGTATATAAAATGATTACAAAAATGACCACAAATAATGTAAAAAAAAACAACATTAGAGTATGCATTAAAAATACATATAAAATTAAGCTACTTATATTTCTGTCATCACAACTCTCGGAGGGATTGGCATGGTAATGTACATGACAATGTTAATGTATTTGGTCTTGGCGGAATAGATTTGCTACGCTGCTGCTGCGGCAGAGCAAGTACTGAGACTTGCTACTGCCAATACATCCACAACATGCTGCTGTGAGCATGTAAGAAATATTGCTGCTGCAAATATAACATACATGAAATAACCCCCCACAAAGCAGGAGACATAGAAAGGACAATACAAGCCAAAACATGAACAAAACACCCCCCAACAAGCAGATCTATCGCCAAAACATATGTACTTCTGCTGCTCCGAAGAGCCATGTGAACGACATGTATTACTATATATATGTGTGCCTGGGCTACCACGCCGACCGGCTTAACGCTAGTGGGCTATGACTATGTGCGCCTGGGCTACCACGCCGACTGGCTTAACGCTAGCGGCCTATGGCTATGTGAGCCTGGGCTACCACGCCGACTGGCTTAACTCTAATTAGACGCGCACTATGTGTAATGTTTAATTAACAAAATGGATATACGTTGCAATCCGATAGATAAGACCCCAGCACCTACATTTGATGACTGCTGTTACTTTCTCCACTTTATCAGTCCCAGCGGTAGCGTAACAGTTTGTTAATTCATGTTCGTACAATGATGAGACGGACAAAGTTAGCCGATACATGCCATTTTACTCTCTCGTGCAGATAAAAGTTGTCAAAGTTACAGTGCACAAAAACCCCTGGGAGGACTGACCTGAATGAACTGAAATAAAAGCAGAATATAAATGTTCTTTCTCCGTTTTATGAATTACACAGCACAGCGAGAGCACAC